ATAGCTTCTATTTTCTAATTCTGATCGACAGTAAATTGCTGTCCTGGCTTTTGTTCAGGGAATTGTGTTGCTAAGAGCTTGAGTTATTAGAGTTATTATTATTTAAGTAGAGGCAAGTTAAACTTCTATGTGGATAAATGTCACTTATCTACCATATAGATAATTACATCTGAAGAAACACTTAAAGATCATCAAATGCACAATCTGCCAGTTTACCTTCCAGATTATGCAAGGGTTATATTCTGAATAATTATATTCTGACTGGGCAGAATCCAATCGGGAGACTAGGGTGGGTCTTGAGAATAATATCTCGATTGAGTTTGACCCTGTTTCTGTCAAGGAAGTGGACAGGATTGTGGGCAAACTTAGTTCCTCCACTTGCTTATTGGACCCTTGTCCCTCCTGGTTGGTTTCGGCTGCCAGAGAGGTGACTAGAGACTGGATCCAGGCAATTGTCAACACTTCGTTGAGAGAGGGGAACTTCCCCGCCTCTCTTAAGGAGGCGGTGGTTCGACCTCTCCTCAAGAAGCCTTCCCTGGATCCAGACTCACTTAATAACTATCGTCCCGTCTCCAACCTTCGCTTCATCGTGAAGGTTGTTGAGACTGTAGTGGCTCAACAGCTCCCACAATTCCTGGAGGAAACGGAATACCTTGACCCATACCAATCAGGCTTCCGACATGGTCACAGCACAGAAACGGCATTGGTCGCTCTGGTGGACCATGGTATCCTACTGCAGCAACTTGTGGGGTTAGGGGTGGGAGGCACTGTCTTACGGTAGTTTTCCTCCTACCTCTCGGGTCGCTTTCAGTTTGTATGGGCGGGAGGGCAGAGATCCACCCCGAGGCCCCTTAATTGTGGGGTGCCTCAGGGGTCGGTTCTCTCCCCCCTGCTCTTTAAATCTATATGAAGCCACTGGGTGAGATCATTTGTGGCTTTGGGGTGAGATATCATCAATATGCTGATGATACCCAATTATACATCTCCACCCCAGACCACCCCAGAGATGTCCTTTCCGTGATGTCCCGTTGCCTGGAGGAGGTACGAGCCTGGATGGGCAGAAACAGACTCAAACTCAATCCCTCTAAGACTGAGTGGCTGTGGATGCCGGCATCTCAGGTTTCAGAGGCTCCATCACTTTTGATAGATGTGGAAAAACTTGCACCCGTTGATAGGGCTCGCAACTTGGGTGTCCTCCTGGATGCTCAGCTATCCCTAGAAGACCATCTAACAGCCGTGACCAGGGGGGCCTTCGCACAGGTTCACCTGGCGCGCCAGTTGCGCCCTTTCCTGGACCGAGATGACCTTCGCACAGTCACTCATGCCCTGGTTACTTCCTGCTTGGATTACTGCAATTCCCTCTACATGGGCCTGCCCCTGAGATGCACCTGGAGACTCCAGCTGATCCAGAATGCAGCTGCACGGTTGTTATGGGAGCCCCTCATTACTCCCATATAACACCCCTCCTGCGTGAGCTGCACTGGTTACTAGTGGTTCTCCGGGTCCGCTTCAAGGTGCTAGTCCTCACCTATAAGGCCCTTCATGATTTAGGTCCGGGATATTTGCATGACCTTCTCCTGCCTGCCTCTCACCGTCCTGTTCGCTCATATAGGGCTGCTTTCCTCAGGATTCCGACGGTGAGCCAATGTCGCCTTGCTGTGCCCAGGGGTAGGGCGTTCTGTGTGGGTGCTCCCACCCTCTGGAATGAATTACCTATTGAGCTCCGGATGGCTCCTGATCTCCGCTCCTTCCATAGGGACTTGAAGACTTGGCTTTTCAAACAAATAGGCTGAGACTGATTCCGGGCTTTATTATTTACTACTAATTAATTATTTGGATTAAATTATGATTTTATTGTACTTGTTTCTTAACTTGTGTTCACCGCCCTGAGTCCTTCGGGAGAATGGCAGCATATAAATACATGTAATAAATAAATAAATAAATAAATAATAGTACAAAATAGTTTTTTGCAAACACTTCTTTAAGCAAAATTGTTTCCCTCTTGATTTTTAAATTAGTGTAAGATAGACCATCACAGCATAAATTAATATAAAATAGGCTCAGGACATTTTTTTAAGTGAAGAACACACTTAACCCTACTTATATTTTATGTCATACTTTCTATTACACTTTTTTTTTTTAAATTTGATTTATATGCCGCCCTTCTCCGGAGACTCAGGCGGCTTACAATGCGTTAAGCAATAGCCTTCATACTTTTGTATATTTATACAAAGTCAGCTTATTGCCTCCATAATCTGGGTCCTCAATTTACCTACCTTAGAAAGGATGGAAGGCTGAGTCAACCTTGAGCCTTGGCGAGATTCGAACCTGCAGTAATTGCAGGCATCTGGTCTTAATAACCAGCTTAATAACAGGGTGCCTTAGACCACTGTACTACCAAGGCTCTTCTTGTCCATTTGCAGCTTCTAAGTCTTGCACTAGTGTTTGGAAACTGGCAATGTCTAGACCTGTGATGGCGAACCAATGGCACGCGTGCCACCTGTGGCCCATGGAGCCATTTCGGTGGGCACACGAGCTCAGCTCCGGTGTGCATGCACGTGCCGGCCAGCTGATTTTCGGGCCTTCTAGGCCCACCGGAAGTCAGGAAACAGGCTGTTTCTGGCCTCCCGAGGGCCTCTGGGGGTTGTGGGGAAGGTTGTTTTCACCCTCCCCAGACTCCTAGAAAGGCTCTCGCGTGCCAAAAATGGGGGGAATATAGGGGAGGTGTCGCGCGTGCATGCGCAGGGGGTTAGGACGCGTAGAATGATGGGTATGGGCACACGCGCAGGTGACCCACCCCCACACTCCCCCCGCTTTTGGCATGCAATGACAAAAAGGTTAGCCATCACTGGTCTAGAGAGTAACATAGTAACCCTCTTTTCAATTAAAAAGCTAACACATTTAATATGCACTTCAATCCATTTGATTAGATGTCTGTGGAGATTCATCCAGGTCATAGTTGTCTCAAAGGTGCTTTTTCGAAAGGCAACTGGGCTGTTTTTTCCTTCCTGAAGGAAATAACATTCCAGTTGCCTTTCGAAAAAGCACCTTTGAGACACTTGGTCAGATGCACAGAGCATTATTCTGAGACAGAGAACTCCAGACGTGTTTAGAGTGGAGAGAAAGTAGGAGAATCAAATGGAAGAGGGTACAGTGCCTGAATATTATGTTTAGACAATGGCAGCTCACAAAAGAGTTGTTAGGCACAATATCTTGCCTTGATCAATTAATATTTATAGTGTGACTTAAAAAGTTAAAAGTTCTGGCTCAGGGGCCTCATTATGAAATTGTTTTTTGTAAATTCTTTGCTCAATAATTTCCTGCTTGAGGCCTGTGGCGGACTCTCCTAGGAACTGATTTTTGAATATGTAGGAAGTTAGCACCCACCTCTCTCCTAGGAAAATGAGATATTTTAGGAAATATTAAAAGGGCATAATATTTCCCCTAAAAGGGAGGTAGAAACTCACCCCCCCCCTTTGTCAATGAGCCATTAAGGCCTGGGCCAGTCTATTCAACATAACAAAGATCTACCTCCTTCAGGCAGAGCCATAGTAGGAATTGCTCAAAGCCCTTTCATTACATCATCACCCAGCAAGATTCAACAAAGCTTAACACAGAGACAACCTAAAAAGCTAGCCATGACCTCTGAAAGCAACCAATCAGGATACTCTTCCTGTGCCCCAGGAAGTTCAAAGCCAGAGAGGGTATAAAACCCAGGGACTCTCAGCATCTCTTCTCTTTTTGCCCAGGACCTCAAAACCATGTGGTCCTGTCCACCATTAAAAACCATCTTTCCAACGAGCCACCACGTTTCCAGTGTCTTTCTCCACACTTGGAACTGAACCCAGATGGACATTTCTTCCAACAAATATAATTTTGTCATATTGCATTTTGTCTCTGTTCTTTTACGTAAGGATTAGCCAATTTGTCCAATTTATAGAGTAATGCTAACAGAAGATTGCACATGCCACATTCAAAAGCTTGCAGCTGCGTGATTCCACAGTGTTGTGGGATATGGTACTAAGTTTTTAGAACAGAGGAAGAATAGATATAGAGGTATTCAGGCCAAGCTTGGTTCCTGTACTGTAATACAGGGATACGGCCTGTTATTCTTAGTAATAAATCTTTCAAATTTGGCACCTCCAATTAAAGTGCTGACCCTTGAGCAAAGAAATTACAAAGATTAACTCCACCGTGAAATAGCTGCATTAAAATGTATTAAGAGATTCAACACCGTGTCTCTTTGTAGCATATGCTATAACCAACCTTTGTTAAACCTTTCAACCAAGACATTATTGTGAACCAAGCAGCCATCAGTGGAGAATAGCTAATATTCATGAGAGAATCCTAAACAGGGAGATTAAATTCAGGTTGAATTTAACGGTTTAATGGTTGACTTGGAAAGCTGCCTTTCTTCAAATACAGGTAATCCTTGAGTTATGATCATAATGAAGCCTGCCCATCATGTCATAACTGCCCATTACCAAGTGATGGTGGCAAAAATGTATCAGTCATGTGATTAACCCTTTTTTACGACTGTTTTTGTAGCGGTCATTAAGGGAACACTGTGGTCATTAAGCATACTAACGCTTCATGTGATTGTGGGATGCTGCAAACAGCCATAAATATGCCTGGCAGCCAAGAATCTGAAATGCAGTCACATGACCATGAGAGGGGGCAGAGAGACCATTGAAACTTTGAATCTGAGTCATAAATATCCCACAGATGGGTTCACTGGAACTTCTAACAGTCACTAAGCCACTAGTCGTAAGTCGAGGACCACCTGTAATATTTCTTTGCCTGGTTCTTTGCCCCTGTCTGAAGAGCAGCTCTTCACTTGGAATAACAAATCCTTTTAAGTTCTTTCTCTCATAGGCAAAAACTAAACGTGACTTCCCCCGGTTTTATAGTATCAAGCTAACCGAGAAAGTTTGGAGCATCCGTGGGATCATATTGCCCAGTTACTAATTAGGGACTCCCTCTTGCTTATCTTTCTTTAGCACGCCAGTGGTTTCTATGGCAACCACAGAAGCAGATGCAGGAGTGACTTCAACCAGGAGTATCGTAAAGCAGCCCGTCCACAACCTCCTGATATCTTTCTGAAGAGGATGAAGGTGAGTGGCAGTCTCTGTCTTGTTGCTCTCTCACAGAGCTGCCGGAGAAGGCGAGGGAAGGTTGCAGGGGTGGGTTCTAACCGGCTTTACTACCAGTTCTCTTTGTGCGCGCGCTTTGCACGCGATCACCTCGCTTTGCGCAAGCGCGTTGCGAATCTGCCGAGCTGAGGTGCAGCAATCCGCTCTGCCGCACCTCTCAGCTGGGCGAAAAAAGAAGAAATATAAGGTCGGAATAACGCGGGGGCGGGCGGGAGGCCCAGCTCCCGAAGAAAGAGAACCGGTTCGGTGACATAATAGCATCACTGCTACCAGCTTGGCCAAACTGGGCCAAACCGGGAGCAACCCACCACTGGAAGGTTGCACAGACTTCATCCTTGCCAGCACACCTTTCTATCATTTAATAGATACAGGTAGTCCTCGACTTAACAACAGTTCATTTAGTGATCGTTCGAAGTTACCACGGCACTGAATGACCACTTTTCATACTTATGACCATTGTAAGTGGTCATCCATTCGGATGCTTGACAACTGGTTCATATTTGTGATGATTGTCGTGTCCCAGGGTCATGTGATCCCCTTTTGCAACCTTCTGACAAGCAAAGGCAATGGGGAAGCCAGATTCACGTAACAACTGTGTTGTTAAGCAGGCATGCGCATGCCAGCCAGCTGGTCTTCGGGTTTCTGGCGTTCTGGCATGCACACATGCACACACATGCACATGTTTGGGCACTTGGTGCCGAAAAGGTTCACCATCACCACCCTATACCATTTCAGGCAAGTGGCTGTCCAGCCTCTTCTTAAAAACCTCCAGTGATGAAGCCCCTATAACCGTGATGGCGAACCTATGGCACACATGCCAGAGGTGGCATGCAGAGCCCTCTCAGCTGGCACGTGCGCTGTCACCCCAGGTCAGATCTCTGTGGTGTTTCTTTCATGAGCTTCTGTTCCCTGCAAACGACGAAACAGAAGGTCACGAAAGAAAAAGATCTTACCTCTTGCTGTGCTGCCGGTGTTGGGATGCTCTGCCTCCCACCAGCCAGCTAGTCTTCAGGTCTCTGCTGCGCATTCATGCATGTCCGTGCATGTGTGCCATGTCCATGCACACTTGTTCATGCGCACATTTGCGCATTCATGCATGTCCGTGCATGTTCACGCATCTTTCAGTTTGGGCATGTGTAGTTTGGGCACTAGGTGTCTAAAAGGTTCACCATCACTGCCCTATAACTTCTGAAGGCAAGCTGTTCCACTGGTTGATTGTCGTCACTGTTAGAAAGTTTTTCCTCCATTCCAGGTTGCTTCTCTCCTTGATTAGTTTCCATCCATTGTTTCTTGTCCTGCCCACTTTTGCTTTGGAAAATAAACTGACCCCGTCCTCTTTGTGGCAGCCTCTCAAATACCAGATTACTGCTATCATATCCTCCCTACTCCTTCTTTTCTCTAGACTAGCCAAACTCAAATCCTGCAAACATTCTTCATGTTTTAGTCTCCAGGCCTTTAAATCATTTTAGTTGCTCTTCTTTGCACTTTTTCCAAAGTGCAAAGAGACAAGACAAAAAGCTTTGTCTTGCTTTAGTCTTTGTCTCCACTATGTATGTACCGTACTCTTGTCAGTCAATGTGGGATGAATTAGGAAGGAGTTATTGATAAATGCTGCAAGATGAAGTATTGACAGCAAGTGGCTGTGGCTGGTAGCATCTGGAAACGATCCAGAAGGTACCCCAAATAATGTTGGCAGGAATTGAATGGCAAATAATAAAACAGAGAGTACAGCCACGCAAAACGCCAAAGCAACATCAACATCAATAAATTAAAAACTTTAGGATGCAGGCGTTTGGGGCAGAATCAGATGCAAAGAGCTGCAGAATTTGGCTCTTTTCCCAATTTAAATTAATTGGAGTTCCTTTTTTTAAAAAAAAGATGGTTCTACTACTCTTTCAAAAGACCACTTAACACATGCTTAGGAACATGTCTAGGATTCTTTCCAAAGAGTATTAAACCCATTTCTAAAAAGAATCTCCATAATATCCAGTCTCTCTGACAATCCATGCCAGTGATTGCAACGGCATATACCTATAGCACCACAAATAGCAGGTAGGAGGTGGACAAATACCAGCCCCTGACAATGCCAGTGTGCCAGGGGAAGGAAGGAAGGCTATTTAAAACAATAAAAGGTTGGATTTGGGGGAGGCTGGGAATAAGATAAAGGTGATGTCATCAGAGTATGTCCTCCTGTAACAAGAGTTAATAACAGATTCTTGTGCCATAGTTAAGACATGAGGATGAGCCAGGTGATTTTTACAGTGTGCAAGAATTTTAAGGAAATATATATACGTTTTTCCTCTAATGGCCATGTGCTAGATAGGCAGGAATAGCATGAATGACTACATTGGGATAGTTGTACTTTTTGTATTTGGTCTATCTATCTATCTATCTATCTATCTATCTATCTATCTATCTATCTATCTATCTATCTATCTATCTATCTATCTCTCTCTCTCTCTCTCTCTCTCTCTCTCTCTCTCTCTCTCTCTCTCTCTCTCTCTCTCTCTCTCTCTCTCTCTCTCTCTCATCTATCTATCCATGTTTCCCTGAAAATAAGACCCTGTCTTATATTTTTTTGAACCCTGAAATAAGTGCTTGTCTTTATTTTCAGGGAAGTCTTATTACTTTGGGGCGCATGGAGCAAAATTGGGCTCCTCTCGCCGTCTTACCTAATTTCCAGCTCTGTCTCCCTAACCCTAACCAGAGGAAATGGCAGGGACCAGCTATGCATACGGTTAAATATTTTCAGGGAGGGCTTATTTTCGGGGGGGGGGAGGGTTATTTTAGCACATGTGCTCAAAATCCCGATTGGACTTATTATCAGGGGATGTCTTATTTTAGGGGAAACAGGGTATCTATCTATCTATCTATCTATCTATCTATCTATCTATCTATCTATCTATCTATCTATCTATCATCTACCTACCTACCTACCTATTTATCTACCTATCAAGCAATGTGTGTTTATAAACTGTGCGAAAACTGCATCTCTGCCATTTGGCAATTTGACTTGCAATTTCAGCAGTACAATGAAGACTGTAAAAAGACATTCAGAAATATAAATGCAGGCCATAATTTGAACATCTGCAGTTTGGGAAAGCAACAAGGTTCTATGCCCTTACCAATCTAAGCCCTTTGCAATCAATTCTGGAACTTGTAAAATAATTGAAATATGTTTTTTATAAAGTTCTATTGTGATTCTAATTCTATTCTTCCCTCATAAATGACAGCTGACTGAAAGAATTGGATCCCTGCCGGCAGTATGATTGCCACAGCAGAGGCATCTGGTGGAAATCACAATGACATTACATACATCACAAGATCATCATGCAAATAAAACAAATTATTTGCACCAGTTGTTTTATGATACAAATGATGCAGTACGTAAGCTGTATCATTTGCACAATGTTGTCATGACTGGCAAAGTGTTACTCTCCACCTCCACTCCTTAGAAATCCAGAAAGGATGGAAAGTTTGGCAAGAAAACACTTATTTTTTTTTTAATTTTTATTTATTTATTTATATTAAACTTATTTCTTGCCCATTTTGCTGCAAGGCAACTTTTGAATGCATTGCCTGAGTGCCAGGGATGGGGGAAGAGGAATTATATTTGTATACTCCAGGATAAAAGGCTTAATTCATTACTTGTCAAAATCTAATCTATAAACCAGGGGTGAGCAGTTACTTTTCCCAAGGGCCACATCAGAAACTGGAATTATTGTGGAGGGCTGAAGCAATAGGGCTGTGAAGGTATGTAGGCATGCACGCATGCACTTATGTAAAGTGAAACAAAAAACAGTCACCTTCAAAATAAAAGCAATCCACATGGGCTGGGCAGGGACAGCCAAAGGACCAGATGTGGCCCAGGGGCTGTAAAATGCCCAGGTCTGCTATAAACTGAAATAATTACTGTATATTATGCGGGTTGTTGCGGGAGGACCCGATACTCCCATATTACACCACTCCTGCGCGGCTTGCATTGGTTGCCGGTTGCCCTCCGGGTGAGATTCAAGGTGCTGGTGTTAACCTATAAAGCTCTTCATGGCTTAGGCCCAGGTTATTTGTCGGACCACCTGCAACCAGCGTCAACTTCCCATCGCCCGGTGTGCTCTCACAGAGAGGGCCTACTCAGGGTGCCGTTGGCTAGACAATGTCGGCTGGCGACCCCCAGGGGTAGAGCCTTCTCTGTAAGCGCCCCCACCCTCTGGAATCAACTTCCCTTGGGGCTCCAGTTGGCCCCTGACCTTCGCACCTTCCACTGTGAATTGAAAACCTGGCTATTTATGTCCCCCGGCCTGGACTTATGGGGTAGTATATTTTAAGTTTTTTAAAAACTTTTTATTCTTCTGTGTATATTTGTTGTTTTTAACAGTCGCTTGGTCGATTGTCGTTGTGAGCCGCCCTGAGACCTTGGAGATAGGGCGGCATACAAATTTTATAAATAAATAATAAATAAAATAATATCGCTCCATATGTTAAAATTTAAAGCAAGTTTCTGATGGGAAAAAGCTTGTTAGAAAGTAACATTTTGTTAATTATTTTCCTATTGTTGCTGCTTTAAGGGCTTCTATACTGAAAAGAAGAGTTTAAATATATCCTTAAATATATTATGTAAATAAATTCTCTTGCAGACCTTTTATTACCCAAACTAGGTAACATCATCAGTGCAGGAGTGGGTTCTAATTTTTTTTACTACCGGTTCTGTGGGCGTGGCTTATTTTGTGGGTGTGGCTTGGAGGTCATGTGACTAGGTGGGCGTGGCTAGCTGGTCAGAGTCATTTCTGGAAGATCCTTGCACTTACGACCAGTCCTCGCACTTACGACCCGACTCATTTGTTTGCTTTTAACACTGATCAGCTGTAGGACGGCCCTTTGAAGCCCCGTGGCAAGAGTTTAAACAGTTTTTTTCCCTCTAGTCATCAGCTGGGACTCAGGAGGCAGCAATAGATTGGGGGTGG